AGCAAAATGATTAGATTTCAAGAGATCCCAGAAGGAGATCCCTACATTGGTATTTATAAGGAATACTTTACAGACCTAAGAGTGAATGCAGCTGTGATAGAATAAAGGGAAATAGGTCCAATTTGGTAATTCACTTTGTTGCCTATTCAGTAGTTTATTAAGCTTTATTTATTTGTTGCCTAAATGAAAACTGACATAACGTGTAACTCTGTTTATCAACTCTGTTCTAAATGAGGGTGTCTATTAACGTAATGGGAGTATCAATAATCCCTCTAAAGAATATGAATCAGACTTCCATTTCTGGGTCTGTTTTATAATAATAGAATACAATTATCTAGTCCAATTCCAAGGTGGGGTCTGCTCTCAAAAAGATTAGAAAGGGAAAGATTCACAAAACGGTTTCTTCCCATATATACAACCTAAAATGGGGATTTCAAGAGAGTATTGCCACATTAAAGGACCACTCTAGGCACCCAGACCACTTCAGCTAGGGTTAACCCAGGTCCAGCTAGGGTTAACCCATTCTTTTATAAACATAGCAGTTTCAGAGAAACTGCTATTTTTATGAATGGGTTAAGCCTTCCCCCAAAGCCTCTAGCGGCTGTCTCATTGACAGCCGCTAGAGGCGCTTGCGTGCTTCTCACTGTGATTTTCACAGTGAGAGCACGCCAGCGTCCATAGGAAAGCATTGTAAATGCTTTCCTATGCGACCGGCTGAATGCGCGTGCAGCTCTTGCCGCGCGTGCGCATTCAGCCGATGGGGAGGATCGGAGGAGGAGAGCTCCCCGCCCAGCGCTGGAAAAAGGTAAGTTTTACTTCTTTTCCCCTTTCCAGAGCCGGGCGGGAGGGGGACCCTGAGGGTGGGGGCACCCTCAGGGCACTATAGTGCCAGGAAAAGGAGTATGTTTTCCTGGCACTATAGTGGTCCTTTAAGGATGATGCTAATTATAGAGAGGGAAATAGGGATAGTTATAGGAGGTTACAGCGTCCACAGTGAGGGGAGAGGTGTATCAAGGAAAATAGTAGAATCCCCAATACAAAAAGGAATCATATAACTATTCCTGCCTGCAACTTAAATCCTGTATAGATCCATTGCTGTCCTCTCCTAGCTATCCCTGTCTGCACCTTCGTGGGTGCTAATAATAGTATGTAAATCGGTTACTCCCATCTGAGTCACCAATACCTTTCGTATCCATCCTTGTGGCTACCCCCATAAAATTCCCTGCAAGCCCACCAACACCCTATTCATCAAAATAGTGAATCCATAGTGAATCAGTGCATATTGCAAGTTAAAATAAAATTAAATAACCCTGACGCGTATTTTGGTGCTCAAACGGCACCTTCGTCAGGGGTCTCTCCCTATTTCTATGGCAGTCCAATCACCGACTTCCCAATGCAGCAAAGTAAGAAGTGTTTACAAGGCATGTGATCTGGGCAATTGTGTGCCTCGTGAGTTTAGCTCCACTGAGTTAAACAACCAGGAAGTAACAGAGCCTGTTGTCTGATTAGTAAACTCACATACTAAGTATGTGTATATGTGGCATGGCGAGAGTCCCCACTTTAAAATTTTAAACACAAAACACAATATGTCTGCAAACAGCTTGTTAATATTCAATGGCATACTTTGTCTACAATACACTGAATACCTTTGTTAATGTTTCTTCGTATCCTTTGCATGTGTATTTTTGGTGATTGACCATTGTTTACCATACCAAAATAAAAACAGAAGAATATTCACAAAATCTCCTCTTTTCTTCAAATAAACTTTATATCTTATATTTATATATATATATATATATATATATATATATTTATTTTAAAATTACACATTTTTTTTATAAAAACAATGAGTTACACAAATGAACGACATGAATAGGGCAAAACAACACATTAAAACAGAAAATGCAACATTAACACAAGTCCATGTAGCAAAACACTGGGTTGGTTTAACGGATTCCCCACTAGCGGGAGAAAGTCATTGTTCAGGCAGGTCCCAAGACAGACAGAAGTGGTTCCACCCTGCCAGTCAATGGATCTACTGTGCAGAAGAGTCCATGTAGCTAAATGTTGTGCAGGTTGGCAGCATATCTAGATTCAGACAACTGTCCAAAGGCGCTACATCACCGTCTGCAAATCAAAAACACAGATATAAATCGATTAATCTGGCAATTATGCATATATAAAATATTCCTATTGTTAATGTATTCTAAGAATACGAAACAATAATCATTATGATAATTGTAGCTGACTAATATGCATTCAAATGTGCAGAAAGATTTAATATTAATTTAATAATTCCATACTTTTGCTGTCCACAGCTGTAGGAATCCAGAAGATGGGAGCTGGCAGTCTCCAGATTCCAGTCAAACATCTCCAGAACTTTGTGGCACTCCATTCGTGTCTTCAGACCTAGGCAGAACAGCTGCTCCACCTAAATCATGAGCAGAGGTAATCAAGGTATGTAATATATACACTCCAACAGTAAATGAGACAAACTTGCTCACAAACTAAATACCACACAGCTAAACATATGTTAGTGGTACAATTTCAAAGAGTGTTCACTAGTACACCAAATAACTGAAAGAGGATATGTGAACGTGACTAACTAAGTCTTTACTATTGAAAGCATTTTTTCCTTCAAATAATACATAACCATCTTCATATTTTTTTGGCGTCATTAACTATCTTCTTACTTAGCTAAACTGAGAGTGTATCGGTAAGACTACTAGACAATGTTCAACTTGATTCAATGCATTTTTTTCATATGTCAAAATGTGTATGGAAGCTTGTTACTAAGGGCAGACATTGCAAGAATCTTTAAAAAAAAAATCTGCAAAAATGTTTCAATAGTTTTTAGATGACCTGTTAATCCCTTAATATATGTTATAAATGTGTTGGACTTCTTAGATAGCCAACATAAAACCTAGATATCTAAGCAGTACGTCCAAACAGTGGCGGCTCTAGACTTGGCGAGGCCTTAGGCGAAACTCCTACATGAGGCCCCCACTAACACCATTATTGAAAAAAATAGTTGATTTGTATGTGTAAAAGAAGCTGTAGATATACTGAAGGGGGAGCTTGCAGCACTGGATATAGTGAGCTAGTCTTTGTATACATCGTTGCATTGTCTACCTGTGTGTGTCTGGCAATGAGGATCCTTGTATATGTATGTATGTTTCTCTGAGCATGTGTATGTTTGTGTACTGCCTGTGGCCTTTGGCACTGAGTTTATGGCGAAGCTATGTTTTATGACAGTGTGTATAATTATTGCCTTCAGGGGTGACAGGGTGAGTAAAGGGGTAACTGTGGCAGGGTGAGTGTAGAGAGCAGGAGGGTACCAGAGTGTTTGGAGGTGGGTGCCAGAGTGTTGAGGGTTGACAATGAGAATGAAGGGAGGTGCCTGTGTGTGCGGAGAGTGGTGCCTGTGTGTTTGGAGGGAGAGACAGTGTGTATGGAGGGGGGTGACAGTGTGTATGGAGGGGGGTGACAATGTGTATGGAGGGGTGTCAGTGTGTGCTGAGAGGGGTGACAGAGTGTGTGGGCGGTGACAGAGTGTGAGGGTTACATTAGTGTAAGGGGTGTGATAGAGTGAGAGGAAGGGTGACATAGTGAAGGTGGGTAACAGAGTAAGAGGGGAGTGTCAGAGTAAGAGGGTGGGTGACATAGTGTGATGGGGTGACAGAGTGAGAGGGAGGGTGACAGAATAAGAGGGGGTGACATACTGTGAGGGGGTGAAAGTGTGAGGTGGGGTGACCTAGTGTGTGGGGAGCGACAGAGTGAGGTGACAGAGAACGGGTGGGTGACAGTGTGGGGGCTCACAGGGTGAGTGACAGAGTAAGAGGGGGTGACAGGGTGAGAAGGGGTGTGACCGTGTGAGAGGGTGAGACCTAGTGTGAGAGGGGGTGACATAGTGAGAGAGGGTTACATTAGTGTAAGGGGGGTGACAGAGTGAGAGGAAGCGTGACATAGTGAAGTTGGGTAACAGAGTAAGGGGGGGTGTCAGAGTAAGAGGGGGGTGTCAGAGTAAGAGGGGGGTGACATAGTGAGAGGGAGGGTGACAGAGTGTGGCAGAATAAGAGGGGTGACATAGTGTGAGGGGGTGAAAGTGTGAGGTGGCGTGACCTAGTGTGTAGGGAGCGACAGAGTGAGGTGGCAGAGTACGGGTGGGTGACAGTTTGGGGGGTCACAGGGTGGGTGACAGAGTAAGAGGGGGTGACAGGGTGAGAGGAGGGTGACAGGGTGTGACCTAGAGTGTGAGGGGGAAGACCTAGTGTGTGATGGAGGGTGACA